TATTTTTACATAATATATTTTAGCAGTTCATAATAAGCTTATAGTTGTTATGCAAGCCAAGGAACTCAATTCAAACACGACTTTATATGTACATATATGTATATACCACGTTTAAATTCTACATCAAAGTTTCCATTTTGTAATTGTTTATTTAGCTTTTGTTATATGTAAATACTTACCCCATTTCATCTGACTACTACTATAAATGCGAAAGTTTGTATATATGATGTATGTATACCTTTGTTGACCCTTCACGCTGAAACGGCTGGACAAATTTGGATAAAATGTAGTATAAAGATAGACCTGGAATAACACTTATTCTACTGTTGAGCACCTAGGGACGCACTCGAGTAAACGTGTCAACTCGCTAGTTAAGATATACTATAAGAAAAACCCCGCTTCAATACGGGGGGGATCAGGTCATAGTCCACCACGCTGGCCAAGTGCGGGTTGGCGGACTTCACATGTCTTTCGAAAACTTGTTAAATTCACTCAGACATACAGGTTTCCTCATGATATTTTCTTTTACCGTAAATCAAGTGGTAATCATGTTGGAAATGATTGAAAATGAAATATCACAGAAGCGACTCTCAGGATTTCTCCGCTCTGAAGCATTACTGTCACTCATATTATATGAATTCACATATTACATAATTAAAACTGCCAAGACTAGCTTATCCAGCCTCCGCGGCTTATCCGCTTGTGATCGTAGAATTGACCACAGCTATAAAAATACACGTGACACTTTTATTACATGTATTCTGTTTTCATCTAGATGTCATTAGTCATGTCCACTTTGATGTTTTATCACTAAACATTTTTATGTTGGCATATCCGAGACCCGTTATTAAGTATCCACGTTGATGGAAAGATATACAGTCAATAGAAAAACGTTTGGAATGACTTCAGCAATCATTTTTTATGTTCTGATTTAGTTAAAGTGGCATAATACGATTAAAATGAAACAAGTGTCATATAATAACGATTTAATAAATCATAGTGTAATGAGGTCATAAACATAATATCTTTTAATTTTAATTTTTCTAAAATAACTTTCTAAATTATTTACTTGGTAGATATTATTATGTGATTCAAACTATAAAAATAACACTGTACCAAACGTGATCAATTCAAAAGATGTACATTTCTAAACCAACAAAATGTTAAAAAAAATGTTACTAATTAAATTCATATTTAGACATTATATCCTAACCAGTCTTGTTTATTTTGCAAGTTATTTATATCTGTATATATTTTAATAGCTTCTCGTCCGGACTGATCCATCATCTTCTTAGGTGGGCTCGAACCAAAGAACAGATTCTTTACAGTAAGCTCCTATAATTGGAAAATAGGTAACCATTACGTAAAGATTTTTTTAAAACAAAATATTAAAAAACAGTGGCATACTTCGTTGGCGAAATAACGTTTTTTCTGGTGAATAAAAATCATTTTAAAATAAGACCGGGCAGACTGCTATTTTTATATTTATAATGCTAGTAATAATACAATTATTTATAAAATTACTGCAATTTTATACTATTACGCTTTGTCATAAAGATTATTGAGTACATTATTTATGTTGGATAATAAAAACCTGCAATTCAACAGGTAAATTGACCGACGCGACGATTCATAAAATCTATATTAAACGAAAATCGTCTCCAGGAAGGCTATTTTAGTTTTCAAATTTTAGACTCATCCATAGGTAATACGATGTCATTCATTTAAAATTCGACCATGCAATATGTCTAGACGGAATATAAAATACTAAGTGACCTAGAATTACCTACCTTAGATAAAAGAGTATTTCATTCTATTACGACGTTATTTAATTTACGAGAAGTAATAAATAAATAACTGTATAGTTTTAAAAATCGTATTCATTTTTGTTAAACAGCTATGAGTGTTTGAAGGATCCCTTACGAAGAAGAGTCCCTTATAAAGGATGCTTTTTATTTTTTTATTATAGTAGTTTACCTACTTTTTTTTAAATATTGAAATATTATGATGAATCTTGTCTAACAAGCCTGTAATTGTTTTTTTTTTTAATTTGATTGCAAAAATATATAAACCTACTAACGACTTACCCTCGCTTCGCTCGGGCTTGTCCCTGGCTTGATTCCCAATACAAACTTTCATCCCCATTTTCACGCCCTTAAGGGATGATTTCCGGAATAAAAAGGGTCAGGTTAGGTTAGGTCAGGGTCTCAACTATCTTCTTACCAAATTTCATCTAAATCGGTTCAGTAGATCCAAAGATTACCCCCTACAACGTCACAAACTCACAAAGTTTACCTCTTTATAATATTATCTATTATATAAACCTATAATCATAACGTCTATAACGTCGTATATCGCTAGATTTATATCAAAGAGAACTCGGAAAGTAATGTATCAAAAAGACTAATAAGAACAAAAATTTACATATTTTTACATTAAACAAGTGTTTAGAAAATTAACACCTGAACGTACAGCTAAACTTACATATATATACATATGTAAAGGTTTTTATTTTTTTTTTAAATTACTATTCTTAAAATTAAATTACTTGTTTGCAAATGGTTATTTGCGCAGTTGGTGCCATGTTGATTGTAGGGCTGTGTTTTGGCATCGACTATATATACTATGTTAAAGCTAATGTTTAACAATAACATGATGAGTGAGACATTGTAAATAATTACACTTTATATGGATAAAATTAATTTATTACGGTCTTAGCTCGGTGTAACAACTTAAAACTTGAGTAGAGAACATTCATTACATACCTACTTGACGACATAAGTTGACCAGTAATAATTTTAAAGAAAAACAAAGGTAACAAATGTTTCAAATATTACCCGCACATGATAACTATTAGTAAAACTAGCGACTCACCCTCGCTTTGCTCGGGTTTGTCCCTAGGGTATGTATACAACTTCCCTATTTAAATCGGATATTATTAAATTTTTCATTGGTTTTAATTTTTTTCATGAGACCCTATTTTTTTTCTAAAATAAAAGAAGCCTAAGTTACTCCTTATTACATCAGCTATCTGCTAGTGAAAGTCCTGTCAAAATCGGTCCAGCCATTTCAGAGATTAGCCGGAACAAACAGACAGACAGACAAAAATTGTAAAAAATGTTGTTTTGGTGTATGTACCGTGTATACATCCATAAGCATTTAGTAAAAAGCTGTTATTTTAACATTAAAAACAGACACTTCAATTTTATTTATCTGTATAGTATATATGATATTCTAAAATTTACCCTTTTTTCTTCTTCACTAGAAATTTAGTCAATTTAAACCAGAATAAAATAAATAGATACATAGTGATTCTCCTAGTATTTCAAACCAAAAAAAAATGTAGGAAAATCTCTCTTTAATCTAAAACCATTTCGTGTAGTTATATTAAAAAAGAAATGAATTCTATCCTTATAGATCTATTAAAAGAAATATAAAAAAATATCATCAATAGTGTGTATTAAAGCTAAAGAAATAGATTGGAAAAACGTTGTCCACTGTAAGTAGAGCCTGAGCGTCATATTATGTATATAATGACGCCGCAAGCCTTGATATATTGCAAAATAATGTAACAGGCTGCTCTCCTGTCACTAAGACATATTGCTTATACCTGTTCAGGAGTCTTTTTAACCATCTATAGTCATCTGCACTTCCTAATCATATCTAATTCAAATTAGAAGTTTAATGTAAGCATCTAATCAAAATCACCATATTTCTGAATTCGCATTGAAATTCATATGCCCTCGTATTGTGTCCATTCGTTTGGACTCTGTACAAGGATTATGTTAAAACAATGCTGTCAGTCAGTTGTTTGTGCATCGAACTGTCACTAACATTTCAATCACGTAGGGTTTTTGCTGCAACATCACTTACAGTACTTCGGACGACATCGAATATTTATAGTTTTTAAACATCTTTATTGACGCGGGTTTGACGTCTCGACGGAATAAGGGAGATATTTGAACGCTTGTGCTGTATTTATTAACGTCGCCTTTCTTTTATCTATTGATATTGTGATTTTATTAATAACTCACCGATATTCTAGTAATTTTCACTAAGTTGTCGAAGACTTACACATATGATTGAATATAAGATAAGACAAAAATCTAAAATTAAAAAATATTAAACTAAAAAATATACCAATTTAGATACGTAAAACTTTGGTATCACCACAGATCATATAATACTATAATAGGTATCACTCAAACAATGCTGATTAGATATTATTCTATGTATAGCGCTAGTCTATCATTCTTGGTAAGATCTATTAATGATTCATATTTCTAAAGTTGTCAATAGAGTTGATAAACATCGCGGTTAATAGTTGCTTATTTTAAAAGCGATTCATTAGCGGTCGAGGCTACTTAAAGAAATGTAACAAATGACACAGTTTAATTTGGAAGACAGAGTCAGACAGGCCGCGTATCGATCAAGAGTGGACTGGCGGGCATCCAAACCGACCAAGTGGTGGGCTGTACTGGCGACATAACGTGACAGGTGCGCCGTGCGGCATGCAACTAGGAGTCTCCAACGACTGTTCACACAATCTTCGAACCCTTTTAATAATTAATCACTTAAATCTTTTCACTAATAAACATACTGATGTTATTCTGAATATCTTCAGTTTATTCTCTTAAATAATAATACTTTGATTTTTTACTTAGCAGATGAAAAATAAATATATAGCGTTGCAATGGAATATCTTCACGTGTATCGTAATAAATTATAGCAATATATCACAATGAATATTTTATATAAATTCTCAACAGAAATCTCGCTTTGAATCGTGCGCATTGCCGCAAGCTGTACATCACAATCGGGCAAGCGTGGCAAGGCACGAAATCGATCGAGCCAACTATTCATTGGCGCTCAAACAGGCATTCAATTCTATATTAGCGATCCTTATTTTCAAACTACCACAGTACATACTTCACTTTTATAGTGAACGCCTTATGTAAACGAAATATAATGTTTATTTAATTTAAACCTATTTTTTCCAGGTACAGTGAATGCAAACGGAGAAACGAAACGTCAGAGGACGTCCTACACTAGATATCAAACATTGGAGCTCGAGAAGGAGTTCCACTTCAACCGGTACCTGACGCGGAGGAGACGAATCGAGATCGCACACGCGCTCTGTCTCACCGAGCGCCAGATCAAGATTTGGTTCCAGAACCGACGCATGAAGTGGAAGAAAGAACATAAGATGGCTTCTATGAACATAGTTCCATATCATATGAATCCGTATGGCCATCCCTACCAATTTGACCTTCACCCAAGCCAATTCGCTCACCTGTCAGCATAGGATCAGTGGAATTTTTCGAATAGTGGATAACTGATTTACTAACCCCAGTAGTCGACCGTTCATCTAACGGAGTTGTATGTAACACCATTTCTAAGAAATGGAATGTTACAGCGACTAGACTAGATCAGTTATTCGCTGTTCGAAAAATTTATAATCATATTATAGACGAAATTGTTAAAGTTATTGTTGTGACGTTCAGTGACGATTTAAATTAAAAAGTGCTTGTATATGATACGTACCTTCAAATGAAAATCTGAAGATAAAATCAAGATCAAGTGAATGAAACGAGTGAATTTTCTATACTAACAAATATGAACTTACTTATCTGGACGTTTCTACTTAAAAAGTGAACATATACCTATTATAAAAAGTGGATTAATATTTCACTTACAAGTTAACGGCATTGCGTTAAGTTGTTGATTTAGAAAGAATTTTGCCTAGTCATAAGCTATAATTTGATCTGCATATATTCCTAAAATTGTAAGATAAAAACAATTAATAATAGTGTGATGGCTAGTTAGATTTAAGCTTAGGCATGTTTGTTAGGCTGGACTTCTTAAAACTATAAAAGGTCTACTCAAACAAACATATTTACAAGTTTATATGTATAGGACAGCCGTCTCCCAATACAACAAATTCGGAAATGTACAGGGATAAGGTAAAATTCGGCGAATACAAAAATGAAATATAATATCGAATATGAATAATTTTACTTTACACATTTCATTACGATAACTAGTAAGAAGTTAAAACCTAAAAGATTAGCAAGGGCTTGTAAAACACTGTAAACTTTATAACAGGATATAAGCTCAGTTATTATAGAAATCTGTGAATAAGTAGTTATTTGTTCTTAATGTAAATATATTAAATAAATTGTCATTAGTAGGTATCTGAAAAAGTTTAATATATTCATATAGTGTCAACTTTTTCGATGAACTGTTTTATGTTCCTGTTCTTAGTTGTAAATAACAAATAATACGAATATAGAAACAAAAATAAAAATATTATTATTTAGGTTATCTTTAAATAGTTTTAAATCCACCAACGATACCAATTTAATAATTCGTATGACTATTGCGTACTTTAAAATCTTTAATGTCGTATTTGTAATATGTACTTAAAATGTAGTTAGTGTGTAAAGTTTTAATTTCTTCCTTGGAATATTGTAATGTTACCTTTCTCTTGTCTTATGAATCTTTCGTTAAAAACACTCGCATCTCATTTTTGCCTAAATTTTTGTTACAATTTTATATAAATGTCGTGGGCAGCTGTGATATTTTGTTAAATTTTATTCTTTAACTACTTTTGTGTTTCATACTAAAATCTATCAGATCGCGCGCTTGATTATTTCTACGTATCTTTTTATTCTGTTTAATTTGTTGCTTTATTTATTTGTTTGTAAATATTAGATAATCACATAGTATAATTCAATAAATTGAATCGAAATTGCTAGAAGCGGTTACTAATTTATAGTTTGTTTCTTGCGGTTCTAAATTTCTCTAAATTGTAAATTATATGTGCAATAGGATGTGGCCTATTATTTGATCTGTCTCCATTTTTCCTATTTTTGTATATTATTGTTTATTTACTTGTGTTATTTCTTTCTAATTAATAAATATAAATAAATATCTTTATCGTTCATTCCAGTTAAAATGAGAGCTCTAGGGAAGTATGCTACATGATCATTTAAATTATTGTATTGTATGAATAAATTGTAATAAATTTGAAAAATTGGTGAAGATGATAAAATAAATTATGAAGATAGATATGTGTTTCATTGTGTACATACTATCCAAAAAAATTTAGAAAAATGCATCTAATAAGTACATAACTATTATAAAACTACTACACATAATACTTTCTTAGATTTACGCGAATGTTTGACATTATTAAATAAAACTATCTTTTCGGATTATTTCGCGGATTTATTTTGATTTTTGGTTCCCGACGTTTCGAATGCTTTACAGCATCCATGGTCACGGTCTCCCGTTATCATTTTGTTAATTGTGGGTAGGCTGTCTGTAACAACTATATCTTTAAGACATGTAACACCTCAGTCTCTCCCGTGACCATGGATGCTGTAAAGCATTCGAAACGTCGGGAACCAAAAATCAAAATAAATCCGCGAAATAATCCGAAAAGATAGTTTTATTTAATAAACTACTACACATATAAGTGAATTTTAAATATGAAATGCAAAAGCAAATATTTAATTAAGGGCTAATATGTAATTGTGAACAATACGTTTCCCATTGTTTGAAGAGTTATAATAAAGTTACAGAGGAAAGTAGTTTTAATTTAAATTTTAAAATTTATTTTATATTTTTAAAAAGGAGGTTTATATTCATGAAAACTAGACATTTTTTAATGAGTATTGAGCAGACAATATATTACGTACTATTATCCGTGCCTTTGTTTTTTTACCTCTTTATTTGTCTCTGATTATAAATGTAAACAGTACAGTATAGTCTTGATCACTAAAATGATAAAAATTAAAAAAAAATCGATATAGTGTCACTGCCCTGGTATTTCTTCGACATTAAGTGGAACATGACGATATTTCACTTCTCTTGTCTCTCTCTTCTCACATCCATTTTCTTTTCACCAAAAAGTATGGAACGAACTTAAACCGGGTAAAATTTCGCCTTTAAACTAAAGTATAGTTTTTAATTCTTGTGTTTACATCACCAAGAACCAGCGACATCCTCGCAATTTTTTATGTTATTTGGATGGTGATAGCTTTAGTGAATTTTATAACTAATTTCAGAACTAGTTTCCAAATTTCTCTTAAAACATAAACAGAATCTAGAGGTAACCTATCCATGATTAAATTAAGCTCCTGACCATTGCTCCTTCTGCGCAGATAAAATTTTAAAACAGATTCAATATTAGCTGTAATTGATAACAGAATTTTCAATAATTGACATCCCCAGACCTCAATTTGCTATAGAAAAGTATCGGAATTAATGAAAGTATAATTTTTGTCTTTAAAGTTTCGACACAAAAGTTTTTTTTAGATTTATTGATGCACAAAATCAATAACTCTACTAATGGCTAGGTTAAAGAAGACATACTAAGCTTAACCTAAGATATATTAACTTTTAGCTAGAGTATCAAAAATTTTCAAAACTGTAACGTTGAATTAAAACATAAATTTAAAAACATAATATGTTATATGACAACTCGGATAAGACAGGAAGAGATAGAAGATAGATCTTGAAGGAAACTGAACCTGACGCAAGGAAATTTGGACAATGTAGGTACGTGTAAGATATCGATAAAATGAAATTTTGAGAAGATATTACTGATAGAACTCACAAATATTTTTTGGCCTTTCATAGATTATTACATTATTAGATACATTTTTAAACAAATTTTGAAAAGTATAATAATTATAATTTTTTGTTTGTTCTATCATTAATTAAATTTTTTACTAAAAAGTGTTATTTAAAAAGAATATCATCTTTTGTTTTTTAAATTATTTCAAATTTTGCAATTGTTTTCTGTATTGTCCTATATTTCTGAAATGACTAAATTCCCTGTCTATATAATTTTGAGTATTTTTTTATGCTTGATCTTGCCTCTTTATTGTTGGCACAAACTTTGTAAAATTATTTGATGAGGTGAATTTTTATTACATGAAAACAAAATATTTAAATATTGTTGTTTTTCTAGCACTCATATACCTCCTATAATATTTTGATTTGAGGGTCTTCATGGTTAACCCTTGATATTTTAATTACGACCGTGTTTTTAAATATTGAAATAAAATATCCTTCAAATACGTAATATAAGTAAACAAATTATTCGCAAAAGAAGGAAAATATCTGAGTTCATTTGAACATTTGCTGCAACCGCCAACTCGACGCCTTCGTATTGAGTGATGATAAATGATAGTACCAATGACATCCAACGAGGGGGCGCTAGCGTACCACGTGGCAACAAAGAGTCGAAAAATGTGAAGGTTGCTTTAGTTTGTAGGTCGCGGGCGTATCGGAGCCTTAACCTATAAATCATCCTGTCGGAATATTTTGCTTTATACACTGTTACGGTTATCCTATGAAACAGTGGAAACTACCAATGAATACCTTACGAATATTTTATCTTGGCTAAGAGAATAAGTTTTTGAATAAAAAGGTAATGGTACATTCCATTTCTTGCCGTCAATATTGTGCTAATTTTTAAATATCCTCTGTGTTAAAATAAATATAGACATCGGTAGCCCAGTAAACTTGTATTGTATAAGTAGGTACAATGAGTTTTCTTGTGCGAATCATTTTCAAATTGAAACCACTTGTCTTACGTTGAATAAAAACATTACGAGGAAACCTGAATGTCTAAGAGAATCCAGTAAGTTTTTAAAAGACCTGTGAAGTCCGTCAACACGCACTTGGCCAGCGTGGTGTACTATGGCTCGATCCCCATCGCATTGAGCCTCTCGGTTCTCGGGCCTCCCCCAGTGCCCAGCAGTGGGACGTTATTCAGCCCGAATGAGATGATGATACATAATATATTAAAATTTACATTTACCTACAAGCGAAAACAAATAAGTAAATATTATATTGAATGTAATATTTTAGACTTTTTGTGAAACTTTGATCCTACGTAGGAGCTGACGCCTCATTATAACAGCATAAAAAAGGATTTTATATATGTATGTAAATAAGAATATATGCGTGTCACCTTAATACCAAGGCAAAGTCAGGATGAGTCACTAGTATCAAATAAATGTTTTAATATTTTATTATCTTGCAAAGAGAAAACGTCACATTTGAGCTTACATTTTAAAAGCATCAGATTCAAAGCGATACACACCGTGGATTCTGTGTCACACTTCAATGACTACATAATATTATTAATGTTGTGTCCGATCGCAAGATGCAAGATACCTTGCATTAAAGAGAACTCAGTGTCGCGAATCATTTTTCATCTGATGCCCACTGTATCGTCTTGTATGACATTGTTTTGACCGATAAAAGCGTTTAAGGTAAAACGTA